ATGATCACGTGGCGGGGAAGTGACAGGGACACTGCGAAGGAATGAGTGGGGCCCTCGGGGTACGCCTCGTCCGGCCCCCTCCGAGGGGGGACTCCTGCGAGGGCGGCGAGGCACTTAGCTCCGTGCACCCGCCCGCCCCCGCCATGAGGCAAGCTCATTCACAAACAACCTGTTCTGCGATTGCCGTGTGATAGACGACCGAGATACGCTGCTTCTGCAGCCCCAGCCAATTCTTAGTGGTCCAAGTCACCTCATCGAGGTACCCGGGGGATGCCCCGCGCGCCTGACCCAGGCGCGAGAAACGAATCTGCGAGGCGCGGCCGCTTATGCGGCCCGATGGGGAGGAGCGGGGCGGACTACGGGGATCGGCTTCTTACACAGCCCTTCCCTGCAGCGAGCCCCCTCCAACCCACCCGCGCTAGGTCTCGGGGGACGCAGGGGTCAGCCCCGCGCGACCTCGGGAACTAGCCGGGGCAGTCGGAGAAGGGGCAACTCCGTGCACTGAGGACGGTCGGCCGTCAGAAACCACGCCTGCGTGGATCGCGTCACACCAATCCTCGCTACCCAACGCGGCCAAAGGATATCCACCTCGAGAACCTCGAGAGAGAGAGAGAGATTTTTAGCATACCAAACAACTCTAACACTCACACATCATTTGGGGCCTGGAGCCCTGTTCACGCGCGCGCGCGAGACGTGCAGACAGGGTTGCCAGGTGAGAGCGAATGGCGCGGTTTGCCGTCTCAGAGAGAGAGATTTTTAGCAATACCAAACAACTCTAACACTCACACGTCATTTGGGGCCTGGAGCCCCTGCAGACTGATCTTTATGGTGGTTTAATTGCGGGGGGCGGGCAGCTTTGACTGCGATAACCTCCGTTTTCTTTTTTCTACGGGATTCGGAGCGGCTCCGTCTCCCACTCCGCAACGGCCCCCCCCCCCTGGCGACGGCTGCCAGCCAGCCCGCCCGGGATTCGGAGGCGGATCGCCTTTTCCTACACGACACTAGCTACTGATACGAGAATACGTACCGCCCACGCAACTACTCGAAGATAATACGAGAATACGCAGCTGCGAGACGCCTATAAAGAAACAGCGCACTGGTCAAACTATTAGCCTCATAATGAGGAAAAGGCTAATAGCGATTTCAAATAGTGCTACTATTAGCTCAGAGGGGCTAATAGTGCAATTATTAGGTGTGCTAATAGCCGATGTCCTAATAATGGACCCTTGGAGCACTTGGAGTCAGTCATTAACCTCACATCGTGCGCCTTGTAAATTCTTTGAGCACAACTCGCCAGAAAACACGCCTGCGTGGATCGCGTCACACCAATCCTCCCCCGCTACCCACACGGATTTCCACCCGAGAGAGGGCAAATCAGGGGGTCTGAACCTGCCTGCGAGGTCTCTGGGGGGCCACAGAGCCACGATGGCAGACTGAGCGGTCCGTCCTCCTCTTCGGCCCCGCCTGGCTCGCGGCGCGGAGAGAACCCGGCGCCGGTCCGCGGCTGGCCTGAAAGCCCGTCCGCAAGCCCCTCGGAGCCCCCAAGGTGCGCCCGTTTGCCCCGCGCGCCGCCCGCGCCGCGCCTCCGTTTCGAGGAGGCCGTTCCCGGCAGATGCGCTTCGGGTGGGACGGGTTTTATTGTGGGTCGCATCCCGGCCCAGGGGCGGGACCAGAGCTCCGCGATAGGGTGACGGAGCTCCCCGCCCGGCGGCACAATGCCCGCTCACCGCTCGCTCCGCCCGTGCTCGCAGGCCGAGCGCCATGCCAGGAGGAGCGACCCGACCAAGAAGGCCCAGGAGGTCCACGCAGCCCTCCTGCTTGTGGCGTCGGCCTACTCGATGCGGGCACCTCGGGAGAAGCCGTTCCTGCCCGGCCTCAATCACCCCTCGAAGCAGCTGCGGCCGCGATTTCATCTGGTGACCACCCCACCCCGGCAGGCGCACGCTGAAGCGAGGCCGTCCCGCAGCGCTTCCGAGACGGGGCTGTTCGCGCGGAGCGTCACGCCGCAGGCGTCCGCCGGAGGCCCGCCGGAGGCTGAATGCGGCGGCCACGTCAGTCTTTTGCCCGCGAGGAGCCTGGCCGTCTCTTCCCAGCCGCTTTGCACGCCCCCAACATCCCCTGACAGCAGCAGCGCCTCACGGCGTGGGCTGCGAGGTCACTCGGGGTGACCCAGGGGGCGGCGGGGGAGCACTCTTCCGCCGGAGTAGCGGGCGGTCTTTCCGCTACTCGCTCGTACTTGAGGTGCATCCACGCCCGCCCACCACCTTCCCGGCAGCCCCACCCGCTCGGTGACGTCCTCACTCCCCCCCCCCCCTCAGGCGAGGCCCTGACCACCAAACTCGCGCTCTGCGCTCCGGGAACGGGCAGCAGCGCGACGCTCTTCGAGAGCGAGCGGCGGCGGCGGCTCAGCACGAACCATGTCAGCGCAGGGCGGCGCTATAGCTGCGTGGCGGGCCCCCACCACCGGACTCCGTCAGGGCTCGCGTCTCCCTGCCAGCGCGGGAGCTGAGGGGAGCGCAGTGTCTGTGTCTGTGTTGTGTGTGAAAAAACATTAGATTCTGCATTCTCTTTGGGTCTGAGACCGTCTCTCGCACCCAATTGTGAGACCACACAGCCAGACCAAAAAAAGGCAAAGCCGGAAAGCCTCCCAGATCGGTCATCGCTGCAGAATTCGGACGTTTGCTGCTAAAACAGCTAAAACGCACCGATAAAAAAGACTTTAGCAGCCAACGCAGCCGAGACGCGAGAGATAAAGCCCGAGCAGGCCGCAGAGCGAACTCGCCGTACTGAGCACCGCAGCGCGAACTCGCTCCTGTTCGCTGCGCAGCCCTAGCTGCGCTCCATTTTTGGCTCTGGCCGCGACCGACCCAGGCCCGGCTCCAGCCGCGGCCACGTCCGAGCCGGCGGCGGCCACGCAGCAGGGCGCGCCACCGCACATGCCACTCGCCGCAGCGGGCGGTGTCGCCGGCGGCGACGCACCGGATGCTGCCGGCATCGAGACACGGCGGAGCTGGTTGCCGAGCAGGAGGACGGCTCGGCACGGCGCCGGTGCACGGGACCGTCGCCATGTACGCCGGTGTCGTGGAGGGTATGATTATCCGGTAGGAGCCTGAGCGGGACATGGTGTGCGTGGTTGTGAGTATGCACCGTAAACGAGACGCGATCACGCTTTTAGCGCGACATTGAACGGACTCCGCCTCGAGAGGGCGTCTCGCGTGCGCGGCGCCGCTTGGGCGGGGCGGGAGAGCAGAGGCACGCGAGGCGGGCGGGAGGCGGGCGGGAGGCGATCTCAACTGCAGAAATCGCGCCGCGGAGAGCTCAAGTCAGCAGAGCGGCCCCTGCAGACGAGGGGACGGAGGTCGACGGCCAATTAATCGCTCTGGCGGGGCGTCGCCGCGGGGGGCGGGAGGCGTGGCGGGCGGGCCGAAGGCGCGGGCGAGTGTGAAGAGAACCGACGGCGTCAAACGGTCCGTGTCGGCACACGGGCGGCACGGGCAAGGGCCCGCACGTGCCCCATGGCCAGGGGGAGCGGCGGCGCTCCTGACTACGCTCGAACAGGCCCCGCGAGACGCCTCTCGCGGCGGAGGTCGAGCGGCGACGTCGAGCGCCGACTTCCGCGCGGCTCCTGCGTCGGGCGCGTGGTGCGCGTCGAGAGGGGTGGGTCGGACAGGCCGGTCCAGGGGGTCGTGTGGGCGCGTGCGAGGGCCGGAGTCGTGAAGCCACCCTCAATAAATAGGCCGCCGGATCAAAGTTGAGTCGCCGGCGCCTGAGAGGCGTCCGGCCCTCGTCTAGCAGCCGCCGTGAGGCAACGGGAGCTCCTCCGAGGCTCAAAATTGGACCCATCTGACCGCTAACGCGTCCTCTGCAAGGCTGCGTCTTCGGGCTGCGGCCGGCGGAGACTGCCCAGCCTCGGCGAACCAGCGAAGATGGGAAAGCCTCGTTCGACGGGGCGAATTTCTTTTCCAGAGGTTCAGACCCCCTGGGGCAAATAAGAAAATGCGTATTGGCGCCCAAGCTGCGCCCTCTCGCGCGCTACATATCGCTCGGTCACCGCCCGTGGCGTTCGCCTGCGACGCGCTTTCGCTGCCGTCGTCCTAATGCACGACTACGCCCTCCTCACGACGGCAGGCCTCGAGTCTGTCGCCCTCGACGCCCTCGCGAGCGAGTGCGGGCTGCGGGCCAGCGCGCTGCCCGCCCCGACCGCCCGAAAGGGCGAGTCGTTTGGCTCGGCGGGTGGCCTCGGCATCCTCGTCGCGTCCCGGCAAGAGCCGCTCGCTGCGCGCGCCCTCTCGGCGCCGGTGCTGCAGGCGGCCCTCGCCGTCGTGGTGCGGTGCGAGGTGGAGGATGGCGACGTTCTCGCCGCCGCCGTTGGGAGCGTGAGCGAGGAGCGCTGGCGGTCGGCGATGCGCACGCACGCCGCGCACGCCGCTCCTCTCCCCCCCTCCGCGCCCTCCTTCCGCATCGCTTCGCTCCGCGCCGGCCAGCACGACTTTGACAGCCGCGCGCTGAGCAGCGCGCTCGGCGCAGCCGTCAGCGCGCTGCAGCCCTCGTGGCGGGTCGACCTCGAGGCCCCCGACGTGTGCGTCCTCGCGCTGCTCGTCAACCGCTCGCTCCTGATTGGCGCGCTGCTGCCTCCCTTTTCGCCCCGCAAGTCAGACCCGCTGCCGATGGAGCCGAGGCAGTGGCTCGTGCGCGGAGAGCGGGCGCACATGCGGCCGCACAGGGCCGCGCTGCTCGCCCGCCTCCTCGCGCCGGCGAGCGGCGAGGTGCTGCCCTGCTCGCCTCGACTCGCCCCCTCGGACGCTTCCCCGGAGCCGTCTCCCGGTAGGCGGACGGCGAGGTTCTCCTCGACCCGACGGGCGGCGTCGGCACGCGCCCCTGCGCACTCTCTCTCTCCCTACAGCTCTCTTCACTCTCTCTCCACAGCCCTCGCGCCGCGCGCAGGCATCCTCGCCATCGAGGCGGCGCTCCTCGCCTCCGTCACCGCCCACTCTGTCGACCTCGACCCTGCGGCGTGCGACGCCGCGCGCGCAAACGCCGCCGCCGCCGCGCCGCGCCTGCGCGGGAGGGTGACGGTGCACTGCGGCGACGCGGCGCGGGGCGGGGGGGAAATGAGTGCCGTCTCCACGGCCCCTCGCGCGGTGACGCGCCGCTCGGAGGAGTAGGCGCGGCTGGGGGGAGAGGTGGGCCTCCCTCGCGCGAGCGTGGACTGCGTGCTCGCCGACCTGCCGTTCGGGACAGCTCCTAGACACTTCCTAGACACTTCCTAGACCTGCCGTTCGGGTCCCCCCAATTAATTAGTAGTTCATCAGTAGTTCATTAGTAGTCAATTGGCAGTTAATTCGTAGCCGGCCTGCCGTCCGGGACAGCTCCTAGCCCTTTCCTAGACACTTCCTGAGATGCGTAGCCGGCCTGCCGTCCGGGACGCTGCACCGCCCGGCTCGACGCCCAGGGAGGGGTGCAGCACCACCCACCACACGAGATGGCATGAGTAGGATGCTGCACGCCCGGCTCGACGTCGGCGCCCTCCTCTCCGCCCTCGCGGTGCTCGTCCGGCCCGGCGGCCGCTGCCTGCTCGTCGGCAACGCGGGGCCGGGAGGCGTCGGCCGCGGTGCGGCCGTCGAGGTGTTGGGAATGAGCCATCAAGGAGTCGTTAGTGAACATCGACGTTAGGCGTCGCCGCCGCGGTGGTCAAGGCGTCGCGCCGCTACCCGCCCGGCGCGTGGCGGGTCGTGCGGCAGACGGCGTGCGCGTCGGGAGGGATCGCGTGCGAGGCTGTGCAGCTGGCGAGGCTGGGAGAAGCAGCGCCGCGCCTTGGGCGGCTCGAGAAGGCTCGCGGCAAAGTTGTGCTCGAGCCCTACTAAGTCACTACTAATTCACTACTAATCAACTACCTTTACTGATTAGGCTCGCGGCAAAGTTGTGCTCGAGCCCGGCTTCGGCCTGGCCGCGTGGCTGCGGCTGAGCAGGGGCGCGGACCTCACCGGCGGAGTCGGGCCGCTCGACGAGGAGGAGGAGGAGGCGTGGCCGAAGTGGTCACTCGCCGACGTGGCCTCGCACACCACGCCCGAGGACTCGTGGATGGCGGTTCGCGGCAAGGTGTACAACGTCTCGCCCTACCTCCGGTACCACCCGGGAGGTGTGGACACGCTTCTCGACGCGGCCGGCACGGACGCCACAGCCCTCTTCCAACAGCACCACGCTTGGGTGAACGAGGACATGCTCTCTGCGTGCTGCGTGGGCACCCTGAGACAGTAGTCAGACGGTGAGACAGTGAAGCAGTGGTGCGGTACGGTGTGTACTAGGATCTAATCTAGCGGCGCGGGGCGTTTCCCACACCGTCACCCGGGCCCCCTACCGGTCAGTACGGCTCTAGCCGCTGCCCGGGTCGGGCGGATGGGGGCTGAAGGGAACCGACCAACACGGCATTTTCAACGACGAGAGTCGAGACAGACATTCACCCCCTGTCCGGTCCATCCTACAGCATGTTGCTAGTGTTAACAGTAACAACAGAACAACAGTGGGCCCCCCCAACAACAGTAGCTAACGTTAGGCCGACTGAACAACAGTAAGGAAGGCCTGGCAGTGACCCACGACGATCTCTAGTGTCCAGTGCGGGTAATACCCGAAAATACCCGGAAAATCCCAGGTATTTTTGGGTTTGGAGCACTTGGAGTGCAGTCGGCAGCCTCACATCCAGGGCCGGGGAGCTTAGAAGCGCACCCAGCGGGCCGGATGATCGGGATCGGGCTACGGGCTAGAGAGCCCTGACCCCTAGCTAGGGGGGGTGCGCATTCGCAGGGCAAGGGCCTTAAAGTAAACACGGGTCTCCGAGGGTTAGTTCCGTGTACCGGGTTTCCCCTTAACTGCAGAACGCCCCCTCTACTCGGAGCTAACGGACACACAACACTGTATTCCACGTACGTACACGGACACGCCTCATGTGCGCCCGCCCGACTCCGGTCCCAGGGTCCCTTCCTTCGCCCGTCAGGGCAAGCCCTCGGCTCGTCCCGGTCCCTTGCTCGCCTTCCGGGCGTTACCAGACTGCCTCTGTAGTCGTTTCTGATGCCTCTTCCTCGGCTGAGGCCTCGACTCCGCTTCGCCTTCGACTGGTACCGCAGCCTCCGAGAGCGTCGACGGCCCGGCCGGGGTCGCCCCGGGCGAGGACGGCGGCATTGGATCATGTCGCCACCCCTCCCCGGGAGGTCGAGCCGGCTCTCCCTGGTCAGCGAGTCGCGCCCGCACCCGTGGCCTCTCTATTGTTCTCGGCTCGCCCTCCCCTTCCTCCTGCTCCTCACTAAACTCGGGAAGGCGCGGCCGCATCTGTAGATGGTGGAGCGGATCCTCCTCACCGATCACGAGCGGGTCCCAGCTGCTCGAGACTTGCCCGGCCTCCGCTTCGTCCGGTCCCCCCCCAGCCCCGTATCACGGGCGCCGCGTGGGCGGGGGTGGCGAGGGCGGAGGTGGCAACCGAGGCGGCTGCGAGGACGATGAGGCGGAATCCGGACCGGCCAGGAAATCTTGTTTTGTTGTAGACAGGCTCTAGCCGGCGCATACACTCCAGCAGGGAGGCTAGCAGAGAGGAGCCGGCGAGGGAGGAGGCGGCAAGGCAGGAGGCGGCGAGGGAGGAGGCGGCGAGGGAGGAGGCGGCGAAGGAGGCGGCGGCGAGGGAGGAGGTGGTAAGGGAGGGGACAGTGAGGGAGGAGACGGCGGGGGAGGAGGCGGCGAAGGAGGAGGAGGCGAGGAAGGAGGCGGCGAGGGAGGAGGCGGCGAGGGATGAGGAGGTAGAGGAGGAGGAGACGAGAGAGGAGGATGCGAGGGAGGAGGCGGCGAGGAAGGAGGCGGCGAGGAAGGAGGCGCGAGGGGAGGCGGTGAGGGAGGAGACGGCAAGGGGGGAGGCGGCAAGGGAGGAAGCGGCGGGGGAGGAGATGGCGAGGGAGGGGGCGGCGAGGACGGCAAGGGATGAGGCGGCCAAGGAGGAGGCGGCGAGGGAGGAGGCGGCGAGGGAGGAGACGGCGAGGGAGGAGGTGGCGAGGGAGGGGGAGGTGCGGGGGGGGATGGCGAGGGAGGAGGCGGCGAGGGAGGAGGTGGCGAGGGAGGGGGAGGAGGGGGTGGCGAGGGAGGGGGTAGGAAGGGAGGTGGCAAGGGGGTTGGCGGCGAGGGAGGTGGCGGCGAGGGAGGAAAACGGGTCACTTTGCGGGGTTTGCCAAGTCTGACCTCGAACAGCCGCGAAATTTACCGCCGAGAGGAACCCCCGACAATATATATATATATGGCGCTCTCCGTCGTGCTCGCCGCCGTTGCTGTCGCGACTCCCAGAGCCGCGCTGCTGGACGCAATCGCGCCGCTCAACCGCGGCTTCTCTGCAAAGCCTGCGGACCGAAAAGCGGTGGCGGCGGCGATAGACGTGCTGGCAAAGGCCGCGCCGGCGCAGCAGGCCGTCCCCGACATCGGCGGCGACTGGGAGCTGGTGTACACCGACGCGCCCGATATCCTCGGCCTCGATGCGCAGGCGGGGCCTTTCGTGCGGTGCTCGCGGATCGGGCAGCGGATCAGCGAAAGAGAGGGCACGATCGAGAATGTGATCGAGTATGAGCCGCGTGAGTGGGCGACCTCGCTCTTCTCCAACCTCAAGGGCGACCGGCTGCAGCAGCGCGTGGTCACCTCCTTTGCTCGCCGCGAGGGCGCGCCAGCGACCGTCGACCTGAAGATCCGGGGCGTGCGGCTGCTGCCGAGGCAGGCGCTGGGCGTGTCGCTCGAGAGTGCGCCTCCGCTGCAGTTGCTCGGGCCGCTCGAGCCGCCCTTCGGCTCTTTCGAAGTGCTCTATTGCGAGGGGCCTGAGGGGCCGCCCCTCGCAGAGGGCGACTCTGCGGCCGACGAGTCCCTCGACCTTCTCTGCAGGCAGGCCTCGCTGACGTCCCTCGCCCTCACTCCCCGCCACAGCCCTTGCGGGCCTCTCGGCCGCACGCCCCCAACACCACCCCCGCCGCCACCCAGCCTCCCTCACTCGGCCCCACTCGGCCTCACATCGGCCTCGCTCCCGCACAGCATGGACGAGCTTGCCGGCTTCGGCAACTGCGCCTCCATCAGAGTGGTGCGCACGCAGCAGGGATACTTCTCGATCAACCGGCGGGTCGGGCCGGGAGAGGGCTGGGGCGCAGACTAGCGTGTTGAGTGTGTGGCGATGCGGGGAGGGCGAGGGTGGGCCTAGGGGTGGGCGGTCCGGTGCGCGAAGAAGTGACAGGATGTGACAGTGAGGGGGTGGCGACCTCCAGCTCTCCGGCAGCCGCGGCGGAGCGCGGTGGATTACGAGAGTTTACGTGTGGGCCGCACGAGGTGCTGACTACTGTTTGTGCAGGACATGAGATGTTATTGTTGTACATACATGGACATGGAGATGACACACGACAAAATCAAACGAAAAAGAAAAGAAAAACTCTATTAACCCCTAAACGGCTACCGAAACGGGGTGCCCGGAAGGGCGATATCACGGCGGCCTAACTGTGCCTCCGTGCGCTCGCGGCATACCCCCTGCTGCCCGAGGGTCGTGTTAACACTTTATTGGGCACATACAGAGGCGGTGGGAAGCCACCACGTTCCCTTTAAATTTTCCGCCACAGAGCTCCGGAGCGCGCTCTGCAGACTGCACGAGCTCCTGGAGGACGCGGTTTCGTCTTTCGATCCCAGACGGTCGTCGCACGTCGGCGCCCCAGTGAGGTCCGCCGTCATAGGTGTAGCACGCTACTAGACACACTGCCTCCAAGTTGAGCGGTGGAAAATTGTGACGAAGCCACGCACCGAAGCGCCGGCGTCCCTGTGGCAATCTGCCACCGACAGCAACACACGCCTTT